TGTGTCGCTCGCCTCCTCGAACTGTAAGATCTCTTATTATTATTATTATTATATCTCAAGTTCCTCCTTCAGCCAAAGTACTTACCTGGATACTCACCTCCTTCCCTTTCCCTCCGCAGCCTGGATCCCCTGTACATATCCCTACCACCTGTAAATAAAATAACACTTACCTTTTATCTGGTCTCCGTGTCTGTTGTCTGTTAAACCTGCTCATCTTTGACTTATACCTGAAAACCTGATACAGGGTAAAAGAGATCAAGTTAAATGTTAAAGCTGCTGCCAGTGGTACTTTATGATCACCATGGAAACCACACATATGTATCTCTCAGTCCCTGAAGAGCACTCTTGTTAGGACATGCAGAAACACAGCATTCTGAGTGTGCTCAAGACAAAACCATCAAGTCCTAATGTGATAAGAGACACAAATAATACAAAAAGTCTATTTATAAACTGTATTACAAGTGTAAAGTTAGTTTAGACAGCATACATATGCACAAGTTGAACATTCTTGAAAAATCATGAAAAAAAAACTTACACTGTATTTGTGTCCAATACATTAAATTGAAACAAATTTCTGACTATTTGGGCACTTTAATGCTTTATACACACAAGAGTTGAGTAAATTCAAATTCAATTCAAATTCAATTCAAATTCAAAAATACTTTATTGATCCCAGAGGGAAATTTGGTAAATATAGTAATAATAATAAATAAATATAGTCCATTATACCAATACTGTGTGAGTCCATCCTTTTATTTGATTTAAATCTTCCTTAATTTAAATTTTAGTCTGGGCTCACAGGGAAACAGCTACAAGTTTGTGTTCAGTAGCCAGTATTTCACCAGGTAACAAGATAAATATTCCTATAAATCACCTGCTGTAAGCTTGTTTTGCTTCCATAAATCATGACATAAATTTCTTTTCTGGAGGTCTCCATATCTGTCTCTCCCTTTTCTTCATCTGTTTCTCCCACCCACCTCGGTGACTCCACCCTGCAGCAGATAAAAGCTCTGTCCACAAGGTGTGTCTCTCATGGGCACACGCAGGACAGGGTTTCCTGCTGACCGTCAGCCTGCTTGTATTTTCTGCTGGCCTGTCTGCAGTGATTATTCCCTCATAAACGGCCACTCAAAAAGGTAAGCAGATTAGATCCCAATTTTCATCTGATTTAATCTACTGTTTCTACCTTCACAWAAATGTGATTAATAAGATTATTTCAACGCTTGATTTAAATAAGGGACATTTCAATGTTGATGCATTAATTTTAACAAAGAATACATCCTTACTCATGTAAAATAGTGTGATCTGTTGTAATTTTCCCAATTTTACCTTAAACTTATTTTCTGAACATTAAGATCTGAAATTTTAGCTAAGAAGCATTTTATCTCCACGTCATCATCCAGCCAGAATATTTAACTTAGGCAGGAGTTTTTCAAGCTGCTGCATGCACAGAATCTGTGTGAGCTAYGCATCCATTTGAGTGTGTGTGAGAGCTTCTGAAGCATGCAAGTGTGCAGAAAGTTGAAGCCAAACTGGCGAGTGAATGTGATGTGGGCGAGGRCAGCAGTTTGGTGAGAGGAGACAGCAAGTAAACAACATGGCCTAAAGATGCTCTGTCACCTTCTAATATGCTGAAAATTGCTCCTTTTTTCCTTTGGTGCCATCAGTCACAGCTTCCAAAGATCAGGCCTCCTGAACTGATACTTAGGAAGAAAAGCCTGATTTGATACAATTGTGCTCTAACTTCAGATTGATTGTCTACATATGAAACATTATTTGATGGGAAATTGTCCTTGTTGGAGTTTTTTYCCCGGTGGTAATAAATCATACAGATCTGTTACACAGATTATCACAGGTGTTTTTATTTTATTTGGCTGCTGATCATGTGATTGTCTGCTTGTGTGTGCATGTGTCTGTTAGCAAAAAATCTGATCAACAATTAGATTAATTTTATTGATACTCTATTAATCATTGGATATTCATCTACAACTTTTTATGTAAGCATGATTAAAAAGGCCACTACAACTTATGAGCATTAGCCAACACCAGAGGTTATTTATTTATTTATTTATTTATTTATTTATTTATTGCCATCACCAGAGTTGTAAAGTAACTAAGTACAAATACTTTGTTACTGTACTTAAATAGAATTTTTGGGTATCTGTACTTTAC